GTTAGATGATTACCAGCCTCACCGTTCCCAACTCGCTTCCAACACCTGGTTACTAGGGTAACTGCACTGATCTCCGGTCTGCCTACCCACGTTGTGATTAGATCTTAGACAGACGGGATCAAACAGGGATTGGGGCCGTATGCAAGCTGAGTTCGACGGGGTGGCAACACACAAGTAAAAGAAAAACTCACGGGGCCAAAAATTACTGATAAAAAAGGGTAACAACCTTTTATATCTAAATGTTCGTTACATAAAAATTATTCCTACTTCCCGACCCGTTTTGTGGACTGTGGCACCAAGCTTCTACCATACAACTTAAAGACTTCGAGTTGCCTACTCTCTAGAAATTTGCATGTCGGGGTGTGGTTTGGTTTCGACACTGGGCGCTGATCTCTACCAGTCGTTCACGGCTGATTCTTCTCGCCGTCAGTGTGCGAATTGACTTCTTCTCTTCGGCTTGAGTTGGACGAGCTTATTCTCTTCGGCTTGAGTTGGACGAGCTTATTCTCTTCGGCTTGAGTTGGACGAGCTTATTCACTTCGGCTTGAGTTTGATTTCAACTTCTTCTAAGCGCAACTGCAAGTAACTTCTTCTTCGTCCGCCCTGCAACTCTTCTCGTCAAGGTCCGAACTCTTCTCTCTGCCGTCCGGGGCTGAACTCTTCTCTCTGTCGTCCGGGGCTAAACTTTAACTTCTCATCGACTTTCGGGCTGCAGCTCCAACTCTTCTTAGGCTTTCGGGCAATCTTCTTCACTTCGGCTTGGGCTGGACGAATTTCTTCACTCCGGATTTTCTTGCCCGCAAAGGGGCGAATGAACCGGGCCCGACGCCCGCGTTCAAGCTCCTTCGCTGTCCGCGGTCCAGCTGCAACTTCTCTTGCCGTCCTCCCCGCAACTGATTTCTGTCGACTGGGGTCCTGCTTTTATTGACGCCGCAACAAACTGTGGTGGGTCTGTCGGCGCCAGGGTTTTCTTGATAATTCCAAAAGTCGCATTATTTCTGATTTCCCATTATCGCTCTTACTTTCACTCCTACTTCCTTACAGTGCCTCGTCGTGGGGGAGGCGCACACCCGTTTCCCCCGGTCTCTCGTATGTCAGGTGACCGCTTTCGACCAATGGAGTCCTGGTCGAGCGTCCTTCCTCTTCCCTCGCACATCACGTGACCGCTCTCCGGCTAATGAGACTCTGGTCGGGCGTCTCTCCCTCCTTCGTGACGTCTCCAATCGGGCGTGGTCAATCCGGGGCTTTGTTCTGGGGAAGAAACACCTTGTTTAAAAAACAAAATTTAAATTGTCCTTTTCGTATACGGTATTTGTCAAAATAGCCCGCCGCTAATTAGATGTGACTTCAGGAAGAATTTTTGCCGCCTTGTCGGTGCCTTCTGCGAGCCAAAACAATTGCTTTCACCTCTTTCTTTCACTCGGGTCTGTTAATAAAATCTTAATTATCTGAATTGAAAATATCTTCCACTCATCATTTTTGGGTGGTCCCTATCTTCAACTCTAGAGCTGGTCAGGATTTGTATACTAATGTTTTTGTTTTCGTATACAATTCCAGCGGTCACTTATCAACTCAATGACACCCTTTTCGTTTGTCACTTATTAATATATTTTTCCTTCCATTGTTCCCAAAATCCCATTGCTTCAGCCAACTTTAACAAACTTCCATCCTACGCGGACACGGAATTAGTTCAAGTGCTTGACCTGATAATTTTGACATTTGATATGTACCGGTCGAGCGTGCGTGTCCTCGCCCACGACCCTGTTTCGTACTATGTTTCTGTCTTTCCTCTTCTTTTCCTTTTTTTTGTTTTATTTTATTATCTCTAAACTCTATTTCTTCAACCAAATATAACAATTTCTATTTCCGTGGATTTCGGTCAGGTATTTTGGCCTAGATATCTTTTGACACCTGTCTTGTCTTAGTTTTACTTATGACCGGGTTTTGTATTATCTATTCCTCTTTCTCTTTCTTTTTATTATTTCTAAACTCTATTCTTTCAAATAACAATTTCTATTTTTCGTGAATTTCGGTCAGGTACTTTGGCCTAGATATCTTTTGACACCTGTGTTGTTTTAGTTTTCTTATCACCGGGTTTTGTACTATCTATTTCTCCTCTTTCTTTTTATTATTTCTTTTTTTTTGTTTTTTTTTTCTTTCCTTCCTCTTTCTTTCGGATCGCCTAAATACAATTAGAGAATTATTCTCAAAACTCAATTATTCTTCGTCTCTAAATAACTAACAACTGGTTAATAAACCGAATAAAAATTAAATCATATTTCTATGAATATCTCTTTTTAGTTTTTCTAATAATGCAGGGTGCCACAGTGGGCTCTATAGCAATCAGTCCTGAATAAGGTTAACACTGAATTCAAAACAGGTTGAGCGTAGGGAGAGAGCAACGCTTACCTCGTAAAATCCCACTTGCAGCAGAAATCATAACTTCAATAACAAGCATTGTGAGGCTAAGGTCAGGGATGGGGGTGGCTAATGATGCTAAAAGGTAGGGGTTGGAGGTAGAGTAAAATGAGAAGCAGAAGGAGAAGCAAAGGGAGTGGGACTAGATTCTATTGATTTTGGGGGAGATGTTCAAGACTATTTTGGATCTAAGGACAATTACAAGATGAATCCGTTCATTCTTCTAATATTTTCGTCAGGCTGGTAAAATCAAAAATTTGGAAAAGAAAAAGGTAAGATCAAGACTGTTTTTGCAATTTGACATAGATTTTTTGTTGAGGTTTCTAATCTTCAACATCTCAATCCCTATTAGATTTTAAAATAACTAGATTAAAAGCCACCCTCCGTGCGCTCATTTAAGCAAGATACTACGGATGGCTAACTGGTTTGCCGACGGAAAAAAAAGAGATCTCTGGTCCAGCCGAGAAAATTGCAATGACAGTTTTGAATAAATAACTTTGAATTCCTCAGTTCACTTCATAAAACTTCAAGACCCCACTTTAACTCTCACTCAGGCTGTAAGTCTAATTCCGATCAAAAAAACTAATTTGAAGACGAAATTCCAATTCAGGCCGATAATTGAATTCTTCAAATCACAAACTACCTGAAACTCCAACTGAGTTGACTTCGTCAAATCCCAAATTCTGTGAAACTTCAAAATGTCACCTCCTGAAACATTTCACTTTAATTCTAATTACTTAACATTCTGAAAAAATAAAATTGATTTCTTTAATCAAGTTTTAGATATTTTAAACTGAAGTTAAAATGTTTTTTTTTATTAGGTTGGTGCAAAAATAATGACGTAATAATGTCGTTTTTTGACGTATTTTTTAAAGGTCAATAAACGACATTATTACGTCATTATTTTTGCACCAACCTAATAAATTCACTAAATTTTTATGTTAAGTTAGACTTCATATAAATTAAAAACCTTAAATATCACAAATCTTTTCAGTTATTTTAAAATTAAAACTCTGACTGCTTCCTCATCATTCGGACACAAATCTCAATGCTGGATTAGCAGGCACCAGTTGAAAGGCAGATTTTCCATCTCGGGATCATCCTAATCTCAAAAAAGTAAAACATGTCTATGTAGAATAAGTTTAAAAATGTTAACGTCCAACATCTTTAGCATGTTCTGTTTGCGCTTGATTGTAAAAGACCATCTCTTTTTTATATCTCTTTTTGTATGCCTGCGACTCATATATAATTTCATAATACATTATTTAATCTGATGAAGATCTCATAGGACGGAAAGTAGACAAAGTTCTTTTTCAACTACATCATAGCATTCAAATCTTAATGTGTATCGTGTAAGTGATATCATGGGTCGAACTGTTAACACGAGAGCAACAGAAAATGACTATATGAAATATTTTATACGTAATTTAAATACTTTATATATATTGGAAAATGCTATGTCTTTTAAACAATGCTATTTAATTTGTGTAATTCTCTCTCTCTCTCTCTCTCTATCTATCTATCTATCTATCTATCTCCGTGTGTTTGTTTGTTTGTTTCTTTCTATCTATCTATCTATCTATCTATCTATCTATCTATCTATCTATCTCCGTGTGTTTGTTTGTTTGTTTGTTTGTTTCTATCTATCTATCTATCTATCTATCTATCTATCTATCTATCTATCTATCTATCTATCTCCGTGTGTTTCTATCTATCTATCTATCTATCTATCTATCTATCTATCTCCGTGTGTTTCTATCCATCTATCTATCTATCTATCTATCTATCTATCTATCTATCTATCTATCTCAGTTTGTTTGTATCTATCATCTATCTATCTATCTATCTATCTATCTATCTTTGTTTGTTTCTATCTATCTATCTATCTATCTATCTATCTATCTATCTATCTATCTATCTATAGTAATTCCCTGTGTATAATACGCATTATTTTTCTAATATACAATAAGCAAAATCAGGTGTGCGTATTATGCACAGCTACAAAAAAATTTTTTAAAATTGCCGTAAAATAAAATAAGAATTATCATAAAACCAAATTAGAATAATATTATTCTATGTTTAAAAACATTTTTTTTAAATAATGGTAGGTAACGTTAGCCGTGTAATAAAATTGGTGCGGAACAATTCATAGGGTTTGATTATCAAACAAGGCGTGCGTATTATGCAAGTGTAGAATCATTTTTCCACACTTCAAGCACAATTTTAGGTGTGCATATTATGGATGAAGGTATATTATACATGGGGAATTACGGTATTTATCTATAATTGTAATTTATTTTGTTTGTGCTTGTTGCCTTAAAATGGAGGAATACATATTCAATTAACCGCTAAAATATATCCAGATTCGATAGAATAACGTTTATCCACTTCCAGTAAAGGACAAGAAATAATATTCTCCTTCTATTTAAGGTCAACACTACAGGCAAAGCAGAAGTAACATTTGAAGCTGACGATTCTTCGATTTTTGAGTTTTTATGAGATGCATTTATTGCAATATTCTATCTTCTGCTTCGTATTGAACACTTTTTATTACAACCTGTATCCAACTAGTTACCAGTATTTCACATATATATATATATATATATATATATATATATATATCCGAGATAAGAGAGAAGAGAGAGATAGATAGATAGATAGATAGATAGATTGAAAGAAACACTGAGACTGATAGATAGATAGATAGATAGATAGATAGATAGATAGATAGATAATGAGGAAACTGAGATAGAGAGAGCAATGAAAAGATCAATGGATAAATAATGGCCAAAATGGGATAGATAGATAGATAGATAGATAGATAGATAGAAACAAACTGAGACAGATAGATGAATAGATAGATAGATAGATAGATAGATAGATAGATAGATAGATAGATTGAAAGAAACACTGAGACTAGATAGATAGATAGATAGATAGATAGATAGATAGATAGATAGATAGATAGATAGATAGAAAGAAACACTGAGACTGATAGATAGATAGATAGATAGATAGATAGATAGATAGATAGATAGATAGATAGATAGATAGATAATGAGGAAACTGAGATAGAAAGATCGATGGATAAATAATGGCCAAAATGGGATAGATAGATAGATAGATAGAAACAAACTGAGATAGATAGATAGATAGATAGATAGATAGATAGATAGATAGATAGAAATTGAGATAGATAGATAGTTAAATAGAAAGAAAGAAACACACTGAGATAGACAGATAGATATATAGATAGAGAGGAAGAGAGAGACAGATAGGTAGATAAGTGTATATGGACTCGCGCGAACGTGTGTCTGTGAATTGAACATTATATCTGAATATACTTGCATGTAAAATAAACTATGCCTTTCTGGATATAAAATATATATCAATATTTCTCCGATTTTGCCCTCGCTGTCTTCAATTAGCCTTCAAGCAACATTTTACGTTCTTCCCGTACTTCCTGGCATTTCATTTTCGCCATCTTACATTCATTATAAGATTTCTCTATTTCATTTTGCACCTTGTCTCTTTTACTCGCTCTGCAATTATATTTTCCTTCACCGTCTTTACTTTGCTTCACATCTCATACGTTTCAATCATGGTTGCCCTATGGGGACTCTCTTCTCGTTCTTTTTTAACCTCAATGCACTTGATGTTTGCTTCTTGGATTTTTAATTCTCATTTTCATGTTTCTGACGATATTTTCTTCCTTTTTATTATTTTTTCTTCTTCTTCCTATTTCTTCTTCTTCTTCCCTTTCTTCTTCTTCTTCTTTTTTCTTCTTCTTCCTCCTCCTCCTCCTTCTATTTCTCCTTCTTCTTTTTCATCTTATTCTTTTTCTTCTACTTCTTCTTCCCCTTTCTTCTTCCTCCCCTTTCTTCTTCTCCTTCTTCATCATCTTCTTCTTCTTCTTCTTCTTCTTCTTCTTTACATTTCTGCCTACATTATCATTCTTTCTTCCCCTCTTTCTATTCTCATTTATCTCTATATATTCATCTTTTCTCTTTCAAATTATTCTTCTTCTCCTTCCGACCCCTCTTACTATTTCTTCTTCTTCTTCTTCTTCTTCTTCTTCTTCTTCTTCTTCTTCTTCTTCTTCTTACTACTACTACTATTATTTGTCCTCCTCCTGTTTCTTCATATTCTTCTTTTCCTCCTCCTCCTCCTCCTCCTACTACTACTACTATTTGTCCTTCTTCTTCTATTTACTTTTCTTTCTCCTTTTTCTCCTTACATTCCTGCCTACAGTATCATTCTTTCCTCCGCGTTTTTCTACTCACATTTATGTCTATATTTCATCCTTTCTCTCTCAAATTCTTCTTCTTCTTCTTCTTCCCTTTCTTCTTCTTTTCTTTTTCTTCTTCTTCCTCCTCCTACTATTTCTCCTTCTTCTTTTTCATCTTCTTCTTCTTCTTTTCTTCTTTTTCTTCTTCTTCTTCTTCTTCTTCTTCTTCTTCTTCTTCTTCTTCTCGTAATAGTTGTCCTTTTTCATCATCATCATCATCATCATCATTATTTTCTTTTTCTTCTTTGCTTTTACCCATTTTATTTCTTCGGCTTCGTACTTCTTTCTTTATCTTCACAATTGTAGCTATTCTTCATCATTACCTACATCCTTCTTCTTCTTCTTCTTCTTCTTCTTCTTCTTCTTACTACTACTATTATTTGTCCTCCTCCTGTTTCTTCATATTCTTCTTTTCCTCCTCCTCCTCCTCTTCCTCCTCCTCCTACTACTACTACTATTTGTCCTTCTTCTTCTATTTACTTTTCTTTCTCCTTTTTCTCCTTACATTCCTGCCTACAGTATCATTCTTTCCTCCGCGTTTTCTACTCACATTTATGTCTATATTTCATCCTTTCTCTCTCAAATTCTTCTTCTTCTTCTTCTTCTTCCCTTTCTTCTTCTTTTTCTTTTTCTTCTTCTTCCTCCTCCTACTATTTCTCCTTCTTCTTTTTCATCTTCTTCTTCTTCTTTTATTCTTTTTCTTCTTCTTCTTCTTTTTCTTCTTCTCGTAATAGTTGTCCTTTTTCATCATCATCATCATCATTATTTTCTTTTTCTTCTTCTTTGCTTTTACCCATTTTATTTCTTCGGCTTCGTACTTCTTTCTTTATCTTCACAATTGTAGCTATTCTTCATCATTACCTACATCCTTCTTCTTCTTCTTCTTCTTCTTCTTCTTCTTCTTCTTCTTCTTCTTCTTCTTCTTCGTTCTTCTTCTTCTTCTTCTTCTTCTTCGTTCTTCTTCTTCTTCTTCGTTCTTCTTCTTCGTTCTTCTTCTTCTTCTTCTTCGTTCTTCTTCTTCTTCTTTCTTCTTCTTCTTCTTCTTCTTCTTCTTCTTCTTCTTCTCCTCCTCCTCCTCCCCATTTGTAACTGTTCTGCTTCTTCTTTACCCTTTTTTTACAGCTCTTCTTCTACTTAGACTTTCTCTTTCTTAATTCTAGATCTTTTTCTTCGTCTTGTTCCTTCCATTTGTAGGTATCAATTCTTTTCTTCCTCTTCAATTTCTCCCTCTTCGTTTCATTTTAGCTTTTATTATTGTCATTATTATTATTATTATTATTATTATTAATATTAATATTATTATTATCAACATTCTACTTCTTGCAAACCCTTCCTTTTCTTTTTTACCTATTCAAAACTTTTTAATTTTCATCTTCCTTCCTTTTTCCTTTCTTGTTTTTCTTTCAACTATTCTCATTCCCCTCTCTCATATTCGCTTCCGCTTTATTTCTCTCTCCTTCCTTTTATTCTCTCTCTCTCTCTTTCATTTTTTCTTTCTCTTTCTTTCTCTTTCTTTCTCTCTCCCATCTCATCCATTTATTTCCCAGATTCATTTCCTTTTCCCCGCGTTCTTCGTCTTTTCCCTTCGTCGTCTTCTTAAGGCGCCGGTCTGTCGCGCTCATTGGACCAGATGGCGACGCTCACAGATGAAGGCCATTGTCCTACGCGGCACACTGATGACCTGAAGGCACTAAACGCTTCAAACATCAGTTGATGTCCCATATTTCTGAACATCTCATCCTGGTGACCTTTCTGCAGATATTTCCGTCAAGAATTTTTCATTGAATTCTGATTCTCTTCCAACTATCTGCTTTCAAAGACGGTAACAAGAGAAGATCTAAGTATACAGGAATCAGAAGAAATTCATTTTATAACATACAAATATTAACACGAGTACATATGCATGTGCATTAGACTTTTGGCATCTATCTATCTATCTATCTATCTATCTATCTATCTATCTATCTATCTATCTATCTATCTATCTATCTCAGTATATATTGGTTTGGTTTGGTTTGTTTTACGGCATATCAATCGCAATGGGTTATTTAATGCCGACAAGATTGTTATTGCTGGTAATATTATCTATCTATCTATCTATCTATCTATCTATCTATCTATCTATCTATCTAAATTCCTTCTCTCTACATGTCAGTAACTCTCAGTTCCGTATCTGTCTGTCAGCCTGTCTGTATCTCTCTCTCTCTCTCTCTCTCTATATATATATATATATATATATATATATATATATATATATATAGTCTTAAGGTATGCTATATTTATGGAATAAAGTGCTCAATATCAGAGATAGAGCGTGTAGATATATAAAATTGAACATAGAAGTCAACACTTAGAGGCGACAGTCTGTTTCATGCTATAGGCAATCGTCAGGCCACATATGCACCACTAACCCGTATATATATAAATAGCCAAGAAAAAATAACAGCATATGTGGCCTGACGATTGCATATAGAATGAAACAGACTATCGCCCTAAGTGTTGACTTTATATGTTCACTATATATATATATATATATATATATATATATATATATATATATATATATAACTGGCATAAATAGACAAAAAATATTTCAATTATTACCACACATGATGATAATAAAAGTAAAACTGAAAAACGGGCTAGCTAAACCGTTTCAGACCTCGCTCAACAGAGCTAAATCGAGGTTAATAAACTGAATTACCCCTAAAAAATGGACAAAGTTTATTAGAGAAAATAAAATTAAAAAAATGTTTAGATGATAATTAGTTGGAGGCCTAATACAGAGTCCTTCTGTTTACACAGAGAGGGCATCAAAGATAGAATATAGATGGCCTTCAACGCTTTTAAGTGGTAATTCAAGTGGGACCTGCTAAGAATGGTAAATGGATCCGTACAAAAAATAGCAGCACAATTATGGCTATTTATTGTGTGTTCTGCGATGGAAGACCCGTATGTATTGGTTAGAATGTCTGAAGAAGTGTACTTAAGTTTTCAGTTTTTGCTTGGAACGTGTTGCTTTATTTTAGCATCAAGCCTTTAAAGCAAGCAATTTAAAGAGCTCAATACAAGAGTAGAGCAATAAATATTTATTATAAACTGTTACATTAGAACATGCAAGTAACCACTACAAAATTGTACATGTTGTTTCGATGTTTAATAAACAACAACATTATTATTGCTCTTAATAAACAAAAATATTGTTAAATACCTGATGAGACGTTGTTATTTATACGTTGAAAAATTTGTGTAAGAGTAACTTCAGACAGTTATGTGCCATTTATGATACACGCTTAGGCGATCATGTATCTTTCGATATATGACTGACGAAGCAATATTTTTCCCGCAGTAGGTTGCCATTTTTTCTGCAGTAGACAAGTTGCCATCCAAGGCTATTTAACCCGGTCTACAGCTGAGGGGTGGGTGGAGAAGAAGAGGATTAATATCTTTCCCAAGGATATTAGCACGCAAGTGAACATAATGGATTCGACTGGAATTCGAACTCGGATCTCGGATTCCTCAATCCAAGCCGCTATATATATATATATATATATATATATATATATATATATATATATATATATATATATATATAATTATCATTATCAGTGGTCAATATATATATATATATATATATATATATATATGTGTGTGTGTGTTTGTGTGTGTGTGCTATATATATATATATATATATATATATATATGTATGTATGCATGTGCAGATATATATATATGTGCATATATATATACATACACACACACACATATATATATATGTGTGTGTGTCTGTGTGTGCAGATATATATCGGCTACCAAATTAAGGTCGAGTACTCTGAGCCTTTATTTTTAAAATTATAAATTTAAAAATATGGAAAAAGTAAATTTTGGCATTTCTCTGAAGAACTTTACACACACAAAGAAACAGAATTATTTCGATAAACTTTTGCAAAAAACAGAGAAATTAATAAGAAGAATGAAATGGAAAGAATTCTTCTTGATTCAAGGGAATAACTTAACAAAAGAAAAGAACATGAGGTTTACGGCTTTCAAAGTAAAAATGTTGCATCATTTAACAAAAAACTACATGAATTTGAAAAGGACCTACTCAATATAATCAATAACATCTCCTTTCAAGAAAAGAAAGGCAACTTTCAAAAACATCTAGACGAAATAGTTAAAAAGCATCAACGACAGCGATAAAAAACTAGTTACATCCGACAAAACGGGAAACTTCTACAAATAGAAGACAGACGACTACAACACATCAATTTTAAAAAATTTAAATAACACTTATAAAAAAGCTTATAATAACAATATTAATATGGTAGACATTATCAACAGAACTAGTGAAATTATTAGTGAAAAATTAGAAATAAGCGATAGGGTAGGCAAACTAGCCGAAAAGGAATGCTACATCACTCTTAAGGACCACAAACAGGATTTTGAGGAAGACCCCACTACCAGAATGATAAACCCAACCAGACCCGACATAGGAAAGATAAGCAAAAGAATCCTAGAAAGGATCACTAGGCAAATCTAAAAAATTCCTTGGAATAACACTCTGGATTAATACCAAAGAAGTCATCAATTGGTTTACCAACATCAACAATAAGTCTGATTGCACCCTAATATAGTTCGATATTGTGGATTATTACCAGTCAATCTCAAGAGATCTCTTCACGACTGCCCTGGAGTTTGCTATTGAAAAACACGCATGCCAAAACAGTATTAATGAAAATCCTAAACAAAAATAAGACAAAAATAATGAAAAATTATGCGATTGTTGAAACCCTGAAGACTGCCCGTTGGAAAATAAATGCCGCACAAAATCTGTAGTATACCAATGCACTATCTCATCCATTGAGAGTCCTAACACTGATAGGATATACATTGGTTCATTAGATGGAAACAACACATAAGCTCCTTCAATAATATTAGAAATAGAAATAAGACATTTTTGGCATTTAAAAGAAATGAATAAAACACCAAAAATGAAATGGAAAATAATAAATAGAACAAGAACTTGTAAAACCTGGGATGACCCATGCCCTTTATGCATACATGAAAAACTACACATTATTAAGTTTCTAAATAATGAAAATTTATTAAACCATAGACATGAGTTAACGGTTTTTTGCCAACATCAATAAATTTTCGCATTAAATAATTAGCAGAAAACAGTTAAATTTCATAGTCTAATAAAATGTTTAAAAGCTTTACCCAATCATAAGATAGAAAAACCCTTTATGAAGTTGTCAAAAAAACAAATTGTAGTTCAGTACGACGCGTTTATGTACGAAACAGCCCTTTAGAAAAAAATAAAAATAAATAAAATAAAATAAAGCAAAATTCTCTAGACACTCTACGACATACTATGGTGCCAGCAGCTATATTTCGCTGTGACTGACCAGACGATGTGAGTACATGAATGCTATCATTCGCTTTGAAATGAATACCCCGACCCTACCTCGGCTTTACCTCTTACCGAAGGTGACTGATATGTGAATAAAAATTTCAGCCGTTTCCATAGTAATTAATTTTGCGAATGAACATGCTTATAAAGATGCGTAAATTTCAAGATTGGTTATTTCTAAATTTTCGCTTTAGGATGAAACAGGGCTTCATACTTTAACTAAATTTAGTTTTAATAATTATATTGAGGATTTCGGCTCTCGTTTTTGAAACATGAGAACTCTTATGTAGAAGAATGAATGATATTTTTAAAAATAATTATTATATATATATATATATATATATATATATATATATATATATGTGTGTGTGTGTGTGTCTGTGTGTGTCTGTGTGTGTGTGTCCAAGAGGATAGAATCCAGGTAGAACTCAATGTCCAGCACAGAGTAGGAAAATAATATAAAAGGCTCAAACTAATATTCCATTATTATAATTGATTACATTGGAATCGTAATCACGTTCCAATTCATCAGACCTACAAATTCAAAAGGCTGAATTTGAATTTGTATGTCTAATGAATTGGATTGTGATTACGATTCCAATGTAATAAATTTAACCATGGAATATTAGTCTTTAGACCTTTTATAATATATATATATATATATATATATATATATATATATATATATATATATATATATATATATATATATATATATATATATATATATATATATATATATATATATATATATATATATATACAGGGTGTTTCAAAAAATTAGATATCCTTTGAGATGTAAATATCACAGAAAGTACATGATTAAGGCAAATGAAATTAAAAAGTATTAATGTTGAAGATCATAAGATTTATTCTTCCAAATCTGAATGAGAAATTCAAAAGCATGTGGATTATATGAACTATTTCACAAATGTTCAATATGCGCACCGCCTGAGACAGGCTATTTTTATACCTGTAAAGTAAAAGATTAAAGATTAAAGAACATAAAAATACAAATAAGAAAAACACAAAAACATAAAAACATAAAACAAACATTAAACATAAAGATGCTATTAAAATTTGAAGTCATTTGAAGGAGATCTAACAAAGTTATTAGATTGCGAAATGATTGCGAAATGATATCAAAATTTTTGAAACACCCTGTATATATATATATATATATGTGATGATTTAAAAGTCACTGCCCATCTTAAAATATTAATAATTTATTTATTAAGTATAATTTTTAAAAGAAATGAATATGAGTGGAAAGCAATAAGCATGAGGTTTTAGTTAAATTCGATATGAGTACCAGGTTTCGCTACCAGCTTCTTTATCCGCACAGAAATCGCGTCAACTTATTTCATCAAGAACTCTTGTGGTATGGAATGCATAATTTCTTGTATTCGCCCTTCAATTTCTTCGAAAGTTTTGATTTGGTATAGTAGTCTTGCTCTTTTAACCAACCACAAATATATATATATATATATACATATATATATATATATATATATATATATATATATATATACATATATATAGATAGCGACAGTCTGTTTCATGCTATATGCAATCGTCAGGCCACCGATTGCATATAGCATGAAACAGACTGTCGCCTCTAATGTTGACTTCTATGTTCACTTTTATATTTACACACGCTCTATCTCTGATATCCAGCACTTTATGCCATAAATATAGCACACCTTAAGACTATATTTCTTCATATATATATATATATATATATATATATATATATATATATATATATATATATATATATATATATTATCTGTGTGTGTGTGTGTGTGTGTGTGTGTGCATGTGTTCCAATCCGTTCATACCTATCTATCTAACAACATGCCAATCAGTCTGTCGATCTGTAGGTATCTATCTATCTATCTATCTATCTATCTATCTATCTATCTATCTATCTATCAAACAATCTATATATCTGCGTGTTTGTGTGAGTTTGTGTTTGTTCTATGTTCCTATATATATCTATGCAACTATACATCTGTGTGTCTGTCTGTTTGTAGCTATGTATCTATCTATCCTCGTTTGGTCAGAAATATCACTGTCCATTCTTATCTATCTATCTATCTATCTATCTATCTATCTATCTATCTATCTATCTATCTCAATCTGCTCCTATCTATCTCATCTATCTATCTATCTATCTATCTATCTATCTATCTATCTCAGTCTCTTTATATCTATCTGTCTATCTATCTAACTATATATCTATTTATTTCAGTCTGTTCATATCTATCTATCTGTTTGTGTCTGTTAATATTGTGTATCTATTTTAGTCTGTTCATATTGTCTGTCTATCTATTTCAGTCTGTTCATATCTATCTATCTATCTATCTATTCCTATCTCTCTAATTATATATCTACTTTTCCATCAATATCTCTCATTCTGTTTATATATACATACAGACATATATATATATATATATATATATATACACACACATATATATATATATGTGTGTGTGTGTCTGTTTCTTTCTTGTTACCTATCTATTTATCGATCTATCTATCTTCAGTCTGTTCCTATATATCTATCAAGCGTAAACATTTGTTTTTAAATAGATTACGTGTACGAGTTGATTCTTAAAATGAGAAAGGTCATCTAGTACACAGTATGAAACGTTTTGATGAAAACAAAATAAGATGGATAATGCATATCTGAATCCCCGTGTAATAATGAAAAATAGCCCAACTCCGAATGTCATGTAGCCTTTTAATCTTTTTACACATTGTCGCTTGCTATTCAACTGGCAAGCCTCTTTTTTTTTCATGTCTTTCTTTCATCTTATTCCGCCCCTTTTTGCCATATATGGTGGTGTTTCTTGAATTTTTCATGCCTCACTTTAGAAAATAAGACCAAATGAAAAATATGAGAATTTAATTTCAGTCGTGCATTTATTTTCCGTTTCTTTTCGTTTTCTTCTCAGTTTTCTCTATCTGCTTTTCTTCCCAAATTTCATTCTTTACCTCCTCTTTTTTTCAGGTCTTTCCCCAAATCACCATTATCATCATCATGAGAGCTGTTACCACTTGAAGTCACACACTGCAAATCAGCATTATGCCTCATCTTCAGCTATTTTGGAAATATCTCTTAGCGGTGTCATCCAAACGTCTGTGCTAACCCGGGAAAGTGCTGCAGGCCATCCAAACTTTTCGAGAATTTTATGGGTAATGATGAGATTTTATTGACAGTTCTTTTAATGTGTACAATAGCTGTTCTGTTCAATATATCAGGGTGACATTCTTCCATTTGGCACTGATGACAAAGACATTTCAATAATATTAAACGGTTTGGAAAACAATTGTGCTTTGAAATACGATATAAATATAAAGTCCTTCTTTCACTTTGCTTTCTTAAAGACAACGTACTAACTCTCAAAGCCCTGCGTTTTTCCATATTAAACTTCAGGATGGTAAAATCTTTATACGCAAGTGAAGGCATTTACAAAGTTTTAAATAGGAAACTGCCAAATTTTACCGTCGAACAGACGAAGCACTCATCACGTTTCCCTTCTAACTAATCTAAACATATTTATTTCAGTTAAATATGAATATGCAATATATTTTTTAAATTCAGTGATCACCGCCTAATTATTAGTGTGTATATTTCACAGGCGGAAAGCGAAACTAATTTGATAACAGAACGAATAGATACGGCTTGCCATAAAACTTATTTTTGGATTCAGGAAGAATTGGACTAAACATTGCGTTCAAGCATGAAGAAGTCTGTTGACAGTCAGTGTTGACATCAGTGTTCACACTCTTTATATGTACACAAGTTCTCTCATGAATACTGAGTACATTTACTCAGTATTCATGAGTGAGCTTGTACACACACACACACACACACACATTGGGTGTATTTAGGCAGCATTCTTTTCATTGATGCATGTTTCATTAAATAATATAGACAAGTGTTATCTATTTATTAGGTTGGTGCAAAAATAATGACGTAATAATGTCGTTTTTTGACGTATTTTTAACGTCGAAAAACGACATTATTACGTCATTATTTTGCACCAACCTAATATTTTATGTAAATTATTTTCATATAGTCTGATAAGCTTAATAGCATTATCATTAAAAGAAGAAAGAAAATCACAATATTGATATTAATTTTTTAATACTATCTAAGCTTTCGACTTACATAAGCCATTATCAAAGATGACAATTGCATTACAATATATTAACCAGTAAACGCACAAAACAATAACGATAGTCTGTTTTTGTTTACATGGATGTTTTCCAAGCAACGACAAAATCGTATGAGAGAGGCCAGGAGGATTAATGAATAGCGGCTCGGATTGAGGAATCGGAGAGCCGAGTTTGAATTCCAGTTTTATTCTACCCTATGGCTAGAACAGACCGTGTTCTCTAGCTTTGGATGACAACTGGTCTACCGCAAAAATAATTGGTAACCTACTGCGTTAAAGAGAATCTGCCTCGTCAGTCATGTATCGAAAGATACATGATCGCCTAAGCGCGTGTATCCCGCATGCCACATAACTGAATGCACAAAGCCTTCACCACTATAATCAAATCATATGTGTTGGGGTCTAGCTGTCCGTTCCTAGGTTCTCCTGTCGAATACGACAGGAGAGTCCAGTATATATATATATATATATATATATATATATATATATATATATATATATTATATATATATTTTGTTGGATTGATGTGAGTTTGTGACCCTGGGTTTCACGTGACGATCGCAAAGCGTGAAACCCAGGTCACAAACTCACATCTATCCAACCAAATATGTTAGCTCTATCTCTGATATTGAGCGCTTTCTAATAAGTACCTCATATAATATATAAATAATTGTATATATATATATATATATATATATATATATATATATATATTTTATTTATATTTATATACACACACTTTTCACACACACACACACACACATATATATACATATATATATATATATATATATTTTGTGTGATTGATGTGATAAATAATTGTATATATATATATATATATATATATTATTTTATATTTATATACACACACTTTTCACACACATATATATATATATATGAATATATATATGTCCTTGACGATCCGTTTTGGTGAAACCTAGGTAGGTTTGTCTGGCCCCACTAGGTTTATCTAGGTCTGCTCTACGGTTGTATTGAGCTCTTTTATTAGTTAGTTGTTACTCGTATCGGGGTTTTTTTTTTCTTTGGGCTTCAGACCTGCATCTGTACGATTTTTTGTCGGCAGAAGTTCATGTTTGTAGCTCTTTCTTTTTTTAAACCTTTTTTTCCTCGAGATTGATTTGATTAGCAAATCAAAAAATTCGAGGGTTTTTCGAAACGAGTCTAGTTATCTATATATATATATATATATATATATATATATATATATATATATATATATTTATTTACATATATTCATATATATATATATATGTGTGTGGATGAAAAAAGTTTTCGATTGTTACGTTTCGTGCTTTAGGAGTTAATCGTAATAAATTTGTTGCAAATCGTGAGGGTCCATCAACACACACATTCACAGACACACACACACACACACATATATATATTATTAAATATAACAGACAATGAGTGTTTATTATGTCTGATCATGAGCCGTTCTAATGTTCAAATGTGTGCTTTAATTTCGGGTGAAAATAAAGACGAAAATTTTCCAACATTTGGATAATTTCTTTATTAAGTCGGCCCTAAGCTTTCGGTTCACATGAGCCATCGTCAGAATGGTTATACAGTCATGAAACAGAGAGAGCCACCGTCAAAGATGATATTTTCTTATTTTGACGGAGAAGATTGCGATGCGACGTTAAAGGTCGCGGAATAGCAGACGCTAATCTTAAGATCAGACATAATAGTCATTCATTGTCTGTTATATTTAATAATATATGTTTAAATATGCATATATGTATAATATCGACTAAAGTAAAAAGCTGCTGCTGCTGCTGGACACTAACACGCAGATAGGAGAGTCCATTATATATATATATATATATATATATATATATATATATATATATATATATAGCGAGATAGATATTTAGGTGGAAGTTTATACGTGGCACGAGGTCACAAGTATGGGGCAACCTCTGAGTATCGAGCTGACTACACACTTGTAATTGATCTAGCGAGACCAGCTTGTTAACCATCACGCAACGGCAATGTGCCTTTAAATTGATTTACTAAGTTTGGACTAAGGTCGAATATGGCAGCACTCAGTGAGAATCAAAACCCACTACTCAGTCGTAATTGATCTAGGGAAACATTTTTAACCTAGGCACCACATCAAAACGCCTTTAATATAAACATATATATATTGTAAAATGTTTGATTGTAAAGAACCGACTGAAACTGTCTGTTTAATTTTTCACGGGAGAGCTAACCAGAATTTTGCTCCAAAAAAAATTTCGCTTGAAGATGGAACAGAGCTTACTTTAACTCAATTTAATTCAAATAATTATATTGAAGTTTTCGGCTCTTGTTTTGAAACATAAGACCTCTTATGTCGCGAATTGGAATCATATTTTTAAATAAATAATTATATATATATATATATGAAGAAATATAGTTTTAAGGTATGCTATATTTATGGGATAAAGTGCTCAATATCAGAGATAGAGCGTATGTAAATATAATTATAAAAGTGAAAATTGATGTCAACACTCAGAGGCGACAGGCTGTTTCATGCTAGTCAGAAAGAGGCAGCTGAAGTTTAAGTGGCGTGTAATGAGGAAGAAGGGCCTGGAGAATCTGATACTCACGGGTCGAATAAAAGTTAGACAAGGGAAAGCAGCTCGTGCCATACCTGGCGTGCTTGAGCAAGTGGATGACAGAAATGAAACAGAGGGAAGGAACTTGCTGAGAGCTGCAAGGAATAGAGTCAGGTGGAGAGCCATGATCGCCTACGTCCTGAAAGTACACGGCACATAATAATAAAAAAAAAGATTTCGGTCTGATGGGGAGAGAAGCCAAATGAGAAGATCAATGAAGGAAGGATTATGGAATGACGTAAGAAGGTAGTAGAAAAATGAAATAGAAATAGAATGAGAAGTGACAAAAGAAAGAAAAAAGAAGGAAGAAGAGGAAAAAAAAGAAGAAAGAATAAGAGAAAAGAAAAAGAAGATGAGAAAAAAGAAGAAAGGGGAGAAAAGGCGGGAATTTAGTAAGAGAGCGAGAGGAAGTGAAAGGGGAAAAAAGATCTTATTCTATGTGCCGTGTCCATTCAGGTTGTTGGCGGTCATGTCTCACCACAATCTCCAATACTTTTACCTCTTAATAAATATTATGTTTGCCATATCTCCTACACTCTGCTCCGCTATCAATTTGCTCAAGCTCGCTATGTAATTT